AATTTGAAAAATGACCACGTCCGACCTTTGGCTTTTCACAATTTTTTTTTTTTAAGCCAGGCCATTCCGATTAGGTATAAACACGATTGCCTCCGTCATAATGGAACAACAAATCATAAGAATGAGCTATACTCGGTGCATAGAGTTATGGATTTGACAGCTAAATAGAAGCTAAGCTGTGCTAAATACACACTCAGGTGTCGATAGGGACACTAATGAAGGACAACACTGTACAAATCCTTGCAATCCTCTTCTTTAAGACTATACTATAACAACTTGTATCTATCGAGTGGGTGCACTAATCCTGTAACAACAGCAGCATCTTTGTATGTGTTAACTGGAGCAACCCAGCTGGTGTTAAAACATGTCACAATAAAAATCATCATTATATTTTTTAAAGGTTATTAAGGCAATTAGCTATCTAGTGGTATTCTACATGTCTAATCCTACACTTGACAGCTTTTTAGAGGCTCACTGACTAAGAACTAAAGGTGGTGGCTTGTGGAGGAGGATGGAGTGAAATGAAACAATCCTCTGCTGAGAACGCACAGAAGCTTAAATCCGGAGAGGGCTGCTTGCGTTAATCCCCATGGATTAAGCTTCTAAATACTCCTATTCAAGCCAATTAATTCATGCATATATCTGTCTTCAGCTCTTTTCATGTCATTTAAGATGATGGAGGGCGACTTCCTGAGAAATCAGGAGGAGGGTGGATATGTATCTACATTAATGCACACAGGGCTCTCTCTTCAGGACCACGCGGCTATATACATCCTGATGCAGCACACACACAGGCCCACACACACACACATTGCATTAGGGAGGTATACATTGAGAGTTAAATGGGGAAATGATGGTGGGAGGGTGAGGATTGAGAGGGGCCTCCATAAGTTGACTGACGTATTCTGACAGCTGAATACTAATCATGAGATCAACCTCTGGCTAAATCTACAGGATCTCACTGGGGCCTCTGGCAGGGAGAAGCATAAAAAGGATTAGCAGTAAATACAGAAGGCTTAAAGAGAACAGAGAGACAGCAGTGGACAGACTGAACAACTTGGAAAGGAAAGGTTGAGAGGAAGAAGCAACTAAGAATGGCAAGAGGACAAGTACATTGACCTAGAAGTATGTAAATGATTTTGGCTTTATGGTTCCCCAAGGACAGTGACATAAGAACAATCATTTAAGCAAATACATTGGCAGGAAAAAACTTGAAGACAATGAAAGAATATAAAATATGATATGTATAGTAGAAGGGGGACAGTTATGCAGGTATACAGCAACAATGCCCCTGGCCTTTTTTGGATGAACTTGATCATGATTTTGAATATCAGGGGACTCATGGTATAATATAATAAAAGAAAGAAAACAAGTCGCCCACTTAATACTCTGGAACAGGTTTTGATTAATTCATTTCCTGTTTGCAATGATGTCACTTCTTATATGCCGTCCCTAATGACATAATTAGAAACCACAAGTCTCTTGTTACCAGAGTGTGTGTGTGTGCGTGTGCGTGTGCGTGTGTGTGTGTGTGTGTGTGTGTGTGTGTGTGTGTGTGTGTGTGTGTGTGTGTGTGTACACAAGCAAGCGGGCATGCAGTAACCGCTGCAAAGAGTATTAATAGGAACTCGCATCACCCAGAAAGGATCTGATTACCAAAAAAGTAACTAAAGTTACCTCCCACTTAGGTCTGATTAAGATACAGATATACAAATGTGCACTGGAGGAATGTAAGTTATATATATATCTTTGCACCACCTGAAGTGTTGGGTAAAGCTTGCCTCACCATACAAAGTGTTGGGTAAAGTTATATAGCCAACAGACAGGTACATGCGTTATTAGTAAGATGTGCCTTTGGCTTCCCACTGACAGCAGATATTACTGCTGATGGAAACAGCTGTGGGTTTGTCCACCACTTCCCGAACCCTCTACAGCTGCAGAGTCAGCACCTTGGAGCTTTGGAGAGCAGCCCTGACAAAATCTGTATTATATCAAATTGAGCCAATGGTGTGATTAGCTGGCTCTGTTCAATGCTCAATGATTTATTATTCAAGCTGTAAATGACTGGTAGGTCTACTGCAAAAAGAATGGCAATGACTTTACAACAGCACTTGAGTACAGTGTTTACAAAAAGGTGAAAAACATGATCTGAACTAAACCCATGCTACATATATTTGGGAGGAGTTGGCACTGCCAATATTGCCGAGCCCAGAGACTCGCTTAGGAGTGACAGGAGTGTTACACATGTTAGAGGAAACCAACTCAAACACAGCATGCATGCTTGGAAAAGTCCTCTACTGTATGTCCTTTTTGTGTAACTTAATAAGATGTATGTTATGCTTTTAAGTCCAATTAACTCAAATAGCGACTGTTAGATCTACAATATCAAAAACTGCATGATAAACAAAGACAATTTTGATCTAAACATGGTCAACTAATCTAAAGAGCAGGAAGCTGATATCTGAGTATTACAACCTGTTTATGTCTTGGCCATTTAACCAGAAAATAAGTTTATGACTCATGGTGCATGGCACTGCTCATCTAACCTGATATTGTTCAACTCAGGTAACTGTTATTGGGAGTGCTTAGTCTTCATATACTGAAATAAGGTCAGACATACAAATCACTGTAGTTGGGAAACTCTTGTCACGTTTATCCTGCAACAAGTGAAAATATGTATGCATGGCGGGCGACAGTCCAAGACTGATCGGCAGCATTTCAAAAGTGTCAACACCTTTTGAGAAGGCTCATTTAAAATATACCCCTCTAAATGTATAAACTTTGGAAGTCCCAGGCTGTGTTTCACATTACTCACTCTTATTTTTGAAAGACACACTGGTTCTTTCACTCTGATCTGACATCAGCCTCTTTGATTGGTCGACCCAGCTCGTGCACTAACCAGTGACACGCTTTAATTATTGAGCGGCTGACCTCAATTGGTTTGCTGGAACAGCCTAAAAACACATTGCGCCACAACCAAAACACACTGTGTGCACACACACACACCAACACATTTGCACACCATGCTCACATACTCACAATCTCACTACTGTACATACTGCACACTTACATGCTCACCCTGGGGACAGTTTCTGCAGTCTAAATATATACTGTATACTGTGGACAACATCAACTGTGCCTGCTACGCCTCTCGGTTCATTGATGCTGAGCGAATTAGTTTTGATATGAATCATGCTGGAAAAACTTGTTTTTTACCATGTTATACAATATACACTTTTTACATAAAAACATGAATGAATTCAACTAAAGATAACGACTTATATTAAATAAATAAAATGTATAGATGAAAGCATTTTATTCACATATTTTGCTGAGTTTTTCAAAACTACATTTAAAATATAAATGCCTGTTGGTAATTGTTTAAAAACAATCACATGTGTAACATCTAGCTGCAATGGCAACTACAGAAAGAGACTTTAAGTACTGTGCTCTATCACTATTGTTTAAATGCTTGGAGAGAAGCCATGTTATAACACTCAAACATTTGGTTTGTGTTTCAAATATATTGTTTCATCGGGATGTTTTTATCACTTATAGTGTGCAGTATACTGCATACAGTACCTATTGCAGTAGTATTGGATTAGTGAATAAAGCTCTGATGAAAACACAGAAATAAAAAACCGCAGCATACTTATATTGGCCGTGAAACTTACTCACACAATATATACTTATACAAGAGTTTCATCTATGAGACGATAGGGAAAACAAATATAATTTACAGTAACCCTTTGATGTTGATAGGAAACATAAATCCTGTGATATGCCCTTCATATCTGAGAAATGATACACATCCTTTGCTATGCTACCAATGCAGTTAAAATGCCATCATTTTTATTTCTATATATAACTAGGAGAGTATGATCTCTATCAAACGTGCCTCCTTACAAATGATCAAACACAGATACTGGACGATACTGATACTGATACTGATGTGATATCAATCCACATTGCTTCAGAAGACATGATGCAACCAGGTCATTTTTAGATTAGGGGGGCGATGGTATCCTACTTAGAATACTGAATTCCTTTCCACTGAGCAGAGAATATTTTACCTGCCTACCTCATGATGTCACCTGTTTGACACTTAATGCAATGAAATGGCACACGTCTTCAGCAATAACATTAATCTTGAGAACAACTTCGGGGACATGAGTGACATGTTGACTCATTATACTTTGATGAGTGTAACCCAACTGGGCTCCTTGGCACGCCGTGTGTGGCTTGTGGACTATGATTAGTTACAAATAGTTCAATGGGTCACACCTCTTGGCTCTGATCCTGAGACAGCACGGTTTGAACTTACTTCCCCTGAGCCACAAGTTCACCACAGGTACAGTAGCTTAACTGAAGTCTGGTTTGCAGGAAGATAGTATTTATTGTCTGTAAACTATGAAGCAGAATAGTCAGTCATTTTGTGAGCTGCTTATGAGTTCATGAAGTGTCAGAGAATCAGATTTTAATGTTGACCCTGAACTTCTTCTGTATGGTTACAGGTGGTTTGAGTGCTGCATTGTGCCTAAGTGTGAAGAAAGTGTAAGAAATACATTCAATACTATTTCCCCTCTAAAAGAACACTTAAAATGATTAAATGTTGCAGACGTCACTAAAGCAGACACATGGACGAACACACACGGAAAAAAAGAATTAGTGCAGTCAAACAGAGCTCTCAACATGGAGCTTCATGCATGCATGCGTGTGTCTATGAAGTTTGGCAGTGTGTTTCTTTGGTCCATACGGCGTTTTGTATTTGCCATAATCCCCTGTCAGCAACACTTAGGCAGGCAGACAATAGCAGAGAAGATCGGCAGCCAAACCCCCTTCACTGTAGGCTTGGCAGGTCAGCGTGCAAGCAGCAGGTTTGACACACAAAACACACACACACACACACACACACTCAAACAAACACACATGTACAATCATGAAACACACACACACACACACAGAAACACTCATGTCCCGCTGAGATGCACGTTACTCACACCGTCTCCCGGCTCTCTTCAAAGAGTTGTGGTGCAGTTCTCAAGGACACGGCTGTCTGACATCTCCTCTCTTTCTCTCTCTCCTCTCACTGTGGCGTACTCTCTCTTCCTATCTCCCACTCTCATTTGCTTCTCGGTTGCAGGACGCTGCCACAACAGATGCAAGTGTGTCGCTGCTTTCCTCCTCTTCTCCTTATTACTCCCTTTTCCCCTCTCTCTTTTCTTCTCTCCTCTCGGTCTGCAGCTGAGAGGCACAGCTCATTCTCTAAGCCATGAAGCGGGGCTTCTCTCTTTTTTTCAAGAGAGTGCTGGGTAGTATGAGAACGAGGAAGCGAAATAAGGAGGAAGGGAGGGAGAAAGAGGAGAGGAAGGAGCGCTGGGCAAACTGACCAAACTGATGTGCCGACAATCAGCCAGAGTCTTCCTCAAAGAAAAACAAAGGGATTTACTTTAGAGAAGCAGAAGCTCTGAAATCACCATATATGTTTTAGTCTCACAAAAAAAGAGAATATTGGGAGATGAGAACAACATACAATGGAAATATGTATTGGTTATGTATGTTGTGTCGAAGCACGACTCCTGACTTTTCCCTGTGTTTTTTATATATATATCTGTTGTAATTTATTGTCTTTTATTGTGATTGTAGTAATGTGTTTTTATTACATGTACAGCACTTTGGCTCGACCAAAAATCGCTTTTAAATGTGCTTTATAAATAAAACTTGATTTGATTTGATTTGATAAACTGAAAGTATAAAAGTTAAGTCAAAGAAAATGTATATTTTTCAGCTTTAAAAAAAAAAATGTTTAGTACTGTAGACCTGAAAAAGTCCTGTCCTAAAAAATATATATAAGGATAGGATATAAAAGGGACAAAAAGTGATTTGGATGAAAAGGGAAACTGATTAAACTCTGAAAGAGAAGAGAAGAGAGCGGGAAATGTCTAAACAAGACGAAAAGAGAGAAGTGTAGAAGGGTGAAAAAGAGGAAGTCTAAGTATTCCCCAAAGCCTTGCTGTCTTTTCTGAAAAATGGTCCCTGCAGGCCCGATCCAGAAAGAGGCAACACAAACAAACAGAGAGCAGAAACAAACATCTATTTATGGAGGAGGGGGGTCCAGTTTCCCAACCACATTTGCTCGCAGCATTTTGACAATGTTACCAATTCAGCAGTTTAAGTGTAGCTGCTGAGGAGAGGAGAGGAAGAGTGAGGAGAGGACAGGAGAGGGAAAGAGAGGAGGAACAATTAGTATCTCAGTTCAAATACAGTGTCTCTGCAGTGAGACACTAATTTCATTATTTTCAAGCCAGCTCATGAAGAGTAAAAAAGACTTACTAAACATTTGAAAATAATCAGAATGTGTACGTTTCCAAATCACTTCTAATAGATCCCAACAACAGGTCAATGCACACGTGTCTATATCCGGACAGTTTCTCTTTCGTAATCCCCCTTTCTCTCACACACAAAGTAGTGTAGTGCAGGTAGGACTTGAAATAGATACATGTGATAATGTTTTTCATATACTTGTTACAAATGTTGATCAATTAGGGCCTGTGTCTGTTCTGCAACGTTAATGTGACAATGCTGTACTGTTCATTCTCCTGTTTCCCAAAATAAAGTCTAATTTTGTCCTGAACTGTGTAGCATTCCAGGTCAAAAGAAAAACCAGATTGCATATGCATTGATAAAGCAGCAACACTTCATTTGTTGTAGAAATGCACCACATAGGCAGTGGCTGATCACACAAACCATAGAAGTCGAAACACTTGAGTTTTGTTCAGACAATGTCACATAATAACTTTGATTCATAAAAAGTATTCCAATGGAGGAGGAACTTTTCTCTGTGCTCAACTTAGCTTTGAGTTCAATACATCTGCAGACATTTTTTTCCAGTTAATTGTGCTCCAATTTGCAACTTCTAAAATCTGTTATAGGAGTGTCATATGGAAACAGGAACATCTCCAGTGTTCATACAATAAGAAATATTATATTTGCATATTCATTGATTCAGATTGTTTTCCATGAAGGAGATGTATGCTATTTTTGGAACCAACAGAAATCACAGTTCAAGTTATAAAAGTATTTTGAGCCTCTCACAGACCAAGGAAGAGCATGTCAGTAATAAGCAGCCTATTAATGAATCCTAGCAAAACTAGGGTTTTCCTCATTGGATAATGAATACAGCTGTGTAGGATGCATGTGCACACACACATCAGGACAAGGAGTTTAGTTAACCCCATAACCCTATAGTATTACAATAGCTATATTTGATGCCAGTCATGTACTATTGTAACAACGCCTTTAACTGTCTGTAATATAAAGAGTATGCACTGTGATTGCAATGAACTATACGAGTTTAATCGTGCCGTACAATTCATATTTAATAAGAAAGTACAACCGAGGGATGGAGAGAAGTCCACAACATACCAACGCAGGGGTTCAGACGAGGATGAGGAGAAGGAAAGTAAATATCAAAGGAAAGGGAATAAATGAGAAACCAAAAATGCAGGTCACAGAACAGGTGAGGGACAGGATGAGGACAGGGAGGAAGATGATAAAAGCAGGGACACAGAGGAAGAGGAGGGAAAGAGGGTGGAGGGCAAGGACAGGGATGAAGGGTGTAACTCACTCCTGTCCCCATCACCAGCGCCCAGTCCTAATTTACCCAGAACAATCAATCAGATCAGGAGGCAGACACTGATAGAGGACTACCATGCAACAGGATCCACCACGTACACACACACACACACACACTGAGAGAGATGGAGGACTTGCATGCAACAGGATCTATTCACACACACATACTTTTATGCTGACTAGAAGGAAATAAAGTTTGCAGCTCATATCTGTAGCCTCTGCACTGACTTCTACCAACTAGGCTGTACTGTGTACCAAAGTCACCGTTGCTCTGTGGGGTCACAGCGGCAGGTCAGGGCCCGCGAGACAAAACCAGCACAGAGGGAACAGAACAGCAGCGAGAGAGCAGGAGGGTGAGGGAGAAAGGGGGAAGATGGAGGAGAACAACGGTCAACAATAGGAAGAGAGGGAGACCGAGAAAAGAGCACGGTGCAAAAAAAACAGAGGACAGAAACGGCAGTGAACGAGAGGACAAAGCGATCGCGCCCTGCCATGCTCTCAGAGAAAGATGAATGCACCAACATATAGGAAAAAAGAATAAAAGAAATGGGAAAAACATGGCAGACTGATGCCAGTTCAGATACCGAAAACACAAACACACACCAACAAGAAGAACAGGGAGATACGTAAATGTGACCACAGATGTTTGTTCATTACTCCTCAAGTGTTTCTGGCCTTCTATCTGCACCCCAGGGGGACACTTTAGCACTTTAGATCTCACCTTAAAGGTGGGGTAGGTGATTCACTTCAGAAACACTTTTTGTTATATTCCATGGAATGCTCTTAACATCCCGATAGCAATGAATATATTAAATGCTTTGACAATAAATACATAAAATGTCATCTGTGGAAGCCGTGGCGCTGTAAAAAGCACGGCCAATCATCTGAGCCGGCCCGGCTAAAGTAACTGGATGGCCTACCTGCCTGTCAGCCTTCCATCTCGTGCACAAACTTATCTTGTGCCCTCATTGGTCATGTGCGCGTTCGTGTGTGTTGGAGGAGGGGCTCTGGAAGGAAGTCTGAAGGAAGGGGCAGATTATTTTCAGCTGCGTACTTTCAAATTCTAGCGCACTCGAGCTGGCTTCTCCATTCTTACCTACCCTACCTTTAAATGGTGATTGTTATGCAGCAGACTTAACTGTTTCCTTCTCAGGTGTAAACAGGCTTTGTGTGTGATTTTCAGTGTGTTCATCATAAAAACCTGGGGGAAATGTAGCTTACAAAGATGATCCCTTCCACATATCGAAGGGTTCTTCAGCAAAACACAACGTCAAAGCTCCCAAAGTAAAAATAATTCAGTGTGGATAAAAGTGTATTCAATTGTATTCACGGCTATGCATTGTAAAACCAGGCCTCTTGATATGACATTACATGAGATCTAGCTTGATTTGAGCAGATAAACATTCATATTAATTAAATTCCTACTTTATAATGACATTTAAATTCTGGGCTTGCATTTTTTTTCGGTTAAGAAGGTGTTTTTGGTTTGCCCCTCTAGAAAGATCAAATCATTACAAATCAAAAAAGTCCCATGAGCCTGTGGTTATAAAGGAGACGATTGCAACTAGGCCACACTGTAACATTATATTTGTTCTGTGAGCAAGCATTACCCAAGGACTAATGAAGGAAAAAGGTATTGCAAATGTAATTGATTTTAGATGAAGTCAGGTATAATCTGTTAATGTGTCCACCTATACCTGAAACTCAGATATAGTGTTAATATTCTACCTTCTCGATCATGTAAGTAAAACTACAATCAGAATCCAGTTTGTTGCCATGTACCTTTCCACATACATATTATTTGCTTTGGTTCATAGCTGCATAAAATAATAGTTAAATGTAAAGAAAACAAATATGGGAAAAATCATAAACATATGAAAAAAATTAAATGGAGTAATCAGAGATATATATGTATGGATATATAATATTGTTGCTAGTATCTTATTTTTTATATTACTTTAAGAATTGACTGCTCAAAATGAACTCTATCCCCAGCTCTTTTGTTACATAGTATACCACCCTTCGACATGCAATGGACAGTAAGCAAGGAAAACAAACATTAAAAAACGTTTTCATATTGATCATCACAGCCATTTTCCCTGGACTTAGTGATCCAACAGAATTTTGGAAATGAAGGTACATTGTCTCGATTCGCTGTTAGAAGAAGAGTCATTACTTTGCATCTTATTATCTTTACTCCCTGATATAATGTAGGTGCCTGGAGAATAAATGTCTACAGCGACCAACATCATGAATCTTAGCTCCATAAAATCTAGTTGATTACATTTATGACTAATTTATTTGACTTAAGACTAATTGAAGCAATGCTTTATTTATCCTGTAAATTATCCCAAAGCACTGCTCTGTTTGTGTGCCTGCACGATAGAAACAGACAGAGAGAGAGGGAGAGAGGGGGGGGATGACATGTGAGACCTACACTATCTATTTTAAAGGATGACACTTTTAATTTAGACCCTGCAAAAGAAATTAAAAAGCATAGCTGTTATTAATGAAGACGGAGCATAATGAGGGAAGGCTACAAACACACACACACACACACACACACACATACACACACACATACACTCTAAGAGACATTTTTGCTCACACTGAACAAACCTGGAAT